GGGTCTTGACACTGTGACCCACCCCAAGCTTCTGCCACTGCCAGATCTAGGCACGAGTGTATCTGGTGTACTCAATGGGTCTCCAGATGTGAATCCAGTACCTCCATTGTGGGTCAGCCTTGCAGAGCATTGTGTTTTTATTACTGTGCCACTGGCTGGTGCCCTACTTTGTGAATTTTAATCAAACTCAAATGCAGATGACAATAGAATAATGGAATAACATTTTTGTGCATGGAGAGATATAGCTCTGAATTTCAGAACAACAGATGGAATAGAAGTCACACTGAATAAGAAACTTAGGTCAGTATAGAGTCCTTATTTATGGCTGAGTGTATAAAAGAACAACAGGAAGAGAGACTTCATGTTTAAACAGGAAGAACAACAACAAGGAAAAATATTCTACCGTATTTTTCTTTCTATAGAAATAGGTGTGCGCATGCATCCACACACACACACCACACACACACCATGAATAAATGGTGTGTTTGCACAGTTACCACTGATTTCTAGCTTCTCGCTGGCAATTGCTCACAGTGTAGTCACATATTGTTCTCAGCAGATCTGGAATTCCAGGATGGTCAAAGCATTGCTGCTACGACATCCCAAAATTTCACTTTGTGTCTCTAAGGAAGTCTCCATTTTCTGACTGCTCAATTAACCATGCATCAATTAATCGAATCACAGACAGCATAAAAGGCTTTACAAATGGTTAATGCTCTCTTTTACCCCAAACACACACACACACACACACACACACACACACACATAATCTCCCTAAAACTATTTAGTGTCTGTAAAAATGAGAAAAATGAAGGAGCCAATTTGAAAATACACTGATTATTCTTGTTTTGGGGTCAAGCAAAATACTCCTAAATTAAATAGCCCCTCTTGCCTCTGTGAAAGTCACCAATGCCTAAGGAACTGATTCTCAGGCAGGCTCTCACACTTGGTATTTCCCTTGCCCTAAGAAGGAAGCTTGGCTTTTAGCTAATGAAATGTCCACTTGGTTCCCAGCATTATTGATTTTTTTCTTTCATGGAACCATAAATATTGACAACCATCTCAGCAAAATGCCAGTACTACTTCCATCCCTCCCTCCCTCCCTCTGGCAGAATGACGCTGGGGCCATTCTATATGCAAATCAGAGTCTAGTCTTCTGGGAATTAGGAATGCTGGTTCCAGAAAGACTGAGTTCTTGATGACACATCACAGAATCCCAAGGGCACTACTTGCAAAGCTTTGTCAGAGCTTCACCTGACTCCAGAGAAACTCTTCATTTCATCCCATAATGAAAGATTATGTGAAGCCTTTGAAAGGGGAAATAAAGTACACAAAAACTTTAAAATGCTCTTGCCTAGAGAAATCCCCAGTGAATTAGAATATAATCCTCCCTCAGTGTCTAATCAATCTCTTTCCTCTACAGTCCAAACACAAGGTTCCTCCAGGGGTGGATGGTCTGTGTTAGACACACCAAAATTCATTATCCCATCTGCCTGCTGCCACTGTTTCCAATAAAGTGTAATTATGGTGTTATTGAGCTCCTTCTCACTTTCTCAAAGCCATGCTATAAACTTTGGGCCCGTGAGCAGTTACTTCCCAGTCAGTCTTCATTATATTGAATTGTCTCAGGACAATGTCTATTTAATCAGCAGGGTGCCTGCTAATTTACTTTTTTAGAATTTGTATTAATGTAACGAATACTGGTTGACTTGATGCCTCAGACAGTACACAATTACAATTACAGTGTTTCCTCTGGCTTCTCAAGGCCTAGTAGCTGGGGTATGAGGTCCCCGAAGATCACTCCTCTCTCACCCCCACATTGCCCAGCTGGGTTGGCTATCTCCCCAGGAATGGCTCTCTGCACTTCCCACTTATTGTAGTGTGATTAATATATGTCATTCAAATACAAGTGGTAAGCACAAGGGATTGCTATTGCCTCTCTCAAGAAACCTAAATTCTGAGAGGCAGGGGCTGGTCCACTGTTTTCTCCCCCCCTCCAGTGGCTACCTGGTGCAGCGCCAGACGTAGGATAAGATGCTCAGTAGTTCCTTCCTGGAAAACTGGAGTGATAGCTGAGCATGCACCTCACTTCCCTCCACTTCCAGTCATGCCCAGTTGCATTGCTCTCCAGAAAGATGATATATGCATAGATTTAAATAGCTGAAGAAAAAAGAAGTAATTTACTGAGTACCCACTATGTGCTCAATTTTAGCACTGGTCAGGACATGGAAGGCCTTGTGGGTCTTAGTAAAGACTTGGCTATTGTATATTTTGCTGAATAAAGCTGATTTCCAAGCAGAAAAGTATAAGAATAAACAAATATGATATAAAGTGGGGGAAAGAATGTCTGCAATAAGCCTAAGATCGCAAGATTTCTCAGAGGAGAAAGAAAAATCAAATCCAATTAAGTATTTTCAGATTGCCTTTTCATTTCCTTTCTGACACAGGTTTCTTTACCTTAGGTCTTGACTGCATTTTATATCCCCACATCAATGAACTCATTTTCAGGAAAACAGTTTCTTTGGATCCTCCTGGCTGGCTTTGCAGCGTTATAAGGAGCATGGAGTGGATTTCCTCTCTGAGGCAGCCAATTTCCTAAGCAATTAAATGCTGTTTATATTCCAAACTCTGTGCTTGGGTTGAAATTGTCAAGCTTGATATTACCTGACTCTTGCCTAAGATGTCTCCCCAGCTAGTTCATTCTACTGTAACAGCCATCTATTAAAATTTCCAATCTGTTCTCTCCTCAAGGGATCACACAGTACTTGGCAAACGTACAGCTTCTGAATTCTGCAAATTATACTCATCTATATAAATATATATTTTTGAAATGGCAAGGCTTGCAAATTACTTTACTAAATCGACATCCCAATCTGTTATCCTCCAAAAGGGGAGGCAAACATCATGTACCTTATACATGCATAGACACTTCTGTGCTGGCTTTTAAAGAATAACATAAGGTAGATGCCAGACTTCTGTGAAATTCCCCCATGAGGTCACAGAACCACAGCTCGTTTTTATCACATCTTGGGGTGGACACGACTGACTATAGCTGAGTCTCTGTTCATCCTAAACTGATACCACACAATGCGCTAGATATTAAAGAAAAAAAAAATGTTTCAGTGAACATTCCTGGCTGAGAACGTTGCTCTTTCTCCTTTTGGTCACCCCTTACCATTTATAGGCCGAATGGAAAAGTGAGATGGTGTCTGAATTTGCATGGTATAGAGTTTCTACTAAAGGGACGGCCGCAGCCTACATATTTGTGTCTAGAACATGTGTTCTCAGAATAGCAGCAGGTGCATTAAGAGCATGAGCAAGAAGCTCTCCATGGTTACCAGGGGACACTTCAGTGGCAACTGCAGCTGATTAGGGATTTCCAAACCCTAGACAGGAAATGAGGACTGGAAGTATGGACTTTTTTTTTTTTTTTTTTTTTTAAAAAAAAAGGTCACAGAATTTAACTTCCTATATTCCTAAAATAGCTACTCAACAGTTTGTACCCATTTTCTTTGGTGAAAATATCCAAATCCACTTAACATATCACCAGCAATACACCAGCTATTCTATGACACAAAGGCTCATTCATATCCTTCCTCTCATCCACAATCTGTAATGGCTTCTCCACTACTCAGAGAACCAAAGCCTAACCCAGCAATGGCCTTCAGGACTCTTCCACCTGGACAGAGAAACTTTGCTTATCCTGCAAACTTGAAATTGTGCCTCTTCCATGAAGATATCCTTGACACCTTCGTCACATTGTTCATACTGCCCTGGAGTTCCCCAATCACAATGCACACACTGTGGTTAACAATCACAGCACTGACAGTGTACCATGGCATTTGTATCGATTGTTTACGTATAGACACCTGTGTGTGGCCAGCCACTATATTTTCTGTTATCTCATTAGTCCTGAAGTGCTCAGTGACCTGAGAGGTGTCTGACCATCGTTAATCTGTAAATGTTGCTGACCTCACACGATTCTGGTAAACAATAGAACTAAATTCACACACATGACATTTTATCATCAAAAGCTGGCCTTTTCCCAATCATTAGTGTAGTTCTCTGGAGCAGATACTAAAGCTATCGTATTTCATTTTTTAGAGAGATTTTTGCCACAGGGCATGTGTGCTTGCCAGAGAGATAGAGAGACGAAGAGATAGAAAGTGGGAAATCACCCCCTGGGAGGATGGTCACACTGCCATCCCTTCTCCTCCATTCTCCTCTTGGGATTTTGGGCACGCACACCCACATACACCCAGCATGAGTTTTAAACCATTGGCTCTGGGACTTGAACCATGACCAACTATGTGGGAGTCTAGCAACATAACCATTATGTCATCTGCTGGTCCTACTACCTTATTTCTTTATCCCCTACAACATTAAAGATGGGAGAGCAGCTTAGCAAACACTAGAGAAGATGAACTATTCTTTCTGCTATTGATAATCAACTTGCAGGTTAGAAGTTTACCTTCAACTCCAACTCTGATGATAGGGGTCCTAGTCTCCATTTCTCTTCTCCCTTCCATGAACCTTAGCACAGTGTCTGATATGCGTAAAGAAGGCTTTTAGCGCCTGGTGTAACAAGCACACACACATTCTTTGCAGAGCTTGAAGAACATTGGGAAAGTACCACCCATGAGTGTGCATGCTTCTCTGACTCACTGAACACTGGGTCAGTAGACAGAACTCTTCTTTTTGGGTTTTAGTGCTGCCCCTCTTTCTGACCCCCTCATTGAAGCCATTTTGTTGAGTGACAGTACACACATATTCATGGAGAGCACAGGTGAACATGCTGGGAAGGGACAGGGCTCTGTCAGAAGCAGGATGATGAAGCCCAGGTGTCTTCTGTCCCCAAGTGACCCCTTATGCACATAAAATCAGCAGGTCAAGGGACAAGAGAGACACAGAGGGCTTCTGTGTCTGAGGACCACGCCTTTGTCTTTCAGTAGGAGATGACTAACGTGGAGGAAGACAAGCCAGCACGAGTGGCCGCCTACCTTTCAGCTTCTCAGCCAGCAGAGCGGCTTCATGCTCAGAGTAGTGCATTATGGCCGGCGGGGAGGGGGGCCGCAGCCGGTCTTCCTCCAGTTTGCGCCGGTGCCGCTCCTCACGGGCACGCATCCTCTGCTTGCATTCCCACTCATAGAAGTCGTCCCTGGCCTGGGCAAAGTCCACGTGAAGGCGGCCTGAATCCTTTTTGTCTGTGCTAGACCCCAGCCTCATCCTGTAACCTGAAACCAGATGGAAAGTGTGGTCACCTCACAACATCACAGTGACCCACCTTTTGTTCTAGGCCCTTAAGGCAGACTAGGTCAGAGCTCACTTTCTTTGCCCTCACTGAGGACACCTTTTCCATAGGAAGTGGGAAGCGGTTACCCCAGCAAACATCTCCAGGAGGTGTCTGAGGGTTGTTTACCCATCTTCTAAGCCGGGTCACCAACAGAAGATAATTTCAAGAACGAGGGGATTGATATGATAACTCCTTTTTCCCTCTGGCTTCCAGGAAGCTCAGAAACAAATTTGGTATGTAGCGTTTTTTTTGTTTGCTTGTTCTTTTGCTTTTTGCTTTATGGCCCCAGTTTTATGTTTCCAATTTACTGTACCTCTACTGCACAAGCGCTCTTGAATTCTTTGTAGAAAGAGGTGGAGTATGAGTACATAAAGAGTATCTCTGATATTTAAAAAAGATCTCCAAAGTAAATTCCAGAACACCTCACTCACAGGCGATTTTGCTTCATTCTGCTAGAAAATGCTACTGCTCAATTCTCTCTCGGCAGCTGCAAACACCACAATTACCAAGGCAATTTTGAAATGCTGTTTTATTTCCACTTATCCTCTGGGGCACACAGGAGAATATTTTACCTTCAATCAAGAGGCCTCACCGCTGCCTTCCTCCCAGCCTGGAAGCACCTCATTTGGCATGCAGCACCACACAAAATTGTCCACGTAATCTTTGAAGGCCATAGGAACCCCATGCAAGAGCCCTGAGCTAAACAAAAAAAACAGGGCCTGGAAATCTTTGGGGGATTTACTGTGAGCTCCCCAACTGATAAAGATTATGAACAGAAACTTGATCTGAGAAATCAACACAAACAGAACTGAAACCAGCCAGTCAGCCTAACTTCAAATGAAGAAGAGTTGACTTTGAGGTTGCTCTTCAGTTTGGGATACTCAGATAAATTCAGGTCCCAGCAGGAACATGACTGCCAGAGAAGAGAGTGAAATAAGCACTTTTGCTGTGCAGGGGCTTTGCAAATGAGACAACTGTAAAATACTAGGCTGTGCTGGGCTGATGTTCAAGATCTTATGGTGGAATTCAATGGATTATTTCAGCATTTTGGGTTAAAACTCAGCTGAAAATCCCTACACAGGCTGGCTCTCCCCAGTGGTGCACTTCACAGCTTTGAAAAATCACCAAGAAGATAAAGACCTCACATCTGACTGCTGTGATGACATGGACCCTTCTCAATCCAGATTTCAACAGTGCTATCTAAGAATGGGAAGACAGAGAGGGTGAGTATCCCTTATCCAAAATGCTTGGGATAAGAAGGGTTTTAGGACTCAATGTTTTTGGGTTTTGGAATATTTGCATAAACATAATGAGATAATTTGGGGGTGGAACCCAACACTAAACACAAGAGTCATTTGTGTTTCTTATACATATAGCCTTAAGGTAAATTCACACTATTTTTAAGTTTTGTGCATGAAATGAAGTTTGTGCACATTCAACCATCAGAGGTCAGATGTGGAATCTTCCACTTTGTGGCATCATGTTGATACTCAAACAATTTTGGATTTTGGAGCATATTGCATTTTCATATTAGGGATGCTGAACTGGTAGTGCTCAAAATTGCAAACATCCAATCACAGATGAGAAGAATTCACATTAAAGCAAAACGTATCTTGGGTGTGGGCCAAGGAAACTGAGCTAGGCAGCAGCCACAGTGATCCGCACACAACAGCTGAGCTGGCAGGACTGCCTAAGACTGCCTGGCTCTCCCAACTGACCCAGCAACTTTCTCCTGCTCACATTTGGAGGATCATTTTTCAAACATTTCTGGCTCCAGAAGCACACTCACTTTTACCAAAATATCATCATTAAGGCCTTAAAAGAGACCCTGATGAGGCTGAGTTTAAAATTAGCTTGGCCTTCAAATGTGAACATGATTTTAAAATTAGGCCTTCCAGCTGGGCTTGGGCTTGCAGGAGCCCATACACAGGAGGGGCAGCCTTCCTTCCTTCCTGCCCCTCCAATTAATCAGCCTTTCACATCTTTCTGGGATGACTGTTGGCTGCAGTCTCTGCAGGGTGGCTAAGGCAGAGCCAGCGACCCCTTGGCACCCGGGCTGGGAGGTTAGAGATGAAACCTTTGCTGCCTACTCCTAATGCTAAGCAACAACCAGAGGCTTGCTCAGAGAAACAAGAGCAGGGCCCACCCTGGAAAAAGCATGAAAGAAAAACACATACCTTTTCATATACCTAAATTTGGAACTGTTCATCTTTGTCAGTGTCTTTGGGGGTTTCTGACTCGGTCTAAACATTGTGTTACTATTGAAAGGACATTTGATCTGCTCTAAACTTCTTACCCTTTCATGTAATAAGGTGGAGTAACATAATAGTTTTATAGGTTGAGCTGTGATTAGAACCTAGGTCCTCAGGATGGTGCTCCTGAGCTCCTTCTTTTTGGTTTTACTTTTTTAAGTATACTTCTTTATTTTCAGGGGGCTGAGGGTCCTGCCCATGGCGGAGTCTTCACATTACCATCTTCTCCACAGCCCTGGAACCAACCAACATCATGAGTTCCCCTGGCATGTTTAGGTAGCTCCAGATGCAGACCTGGTGCCCTCGCTCGGATGGCATCCAACATGGCAGAGTAGTGCCCCCAATGCCACACTACGGCTGGGCCAAGCGTCAGTTCTTAATCATAACCATCGTATTGTTTGCTGAACTGTTCCTAGGTTGCAGGTGGCCTGCTAAACATTAAATATCCATTATTTGCTTTATTCCTCCCAACAATCATATGAGGTGGTAATCATTATTATCTTTATTTTGCAGAGGAGAAAAAAAAGAGGCTCAGAGAGAGGTTGCCTGGGTCAAGGCATATGAAACACAGAGTCAAGTACTCAAGCCTTAGTTGTCTGAGGCTGTCAGTGTGTTGTAGAATGTTTCATCTTTCATCTCCATTTTGGAATGCTTTCAGATCTCCCCCTCCCCACCTCTCTCCCCCTCCCTCCCATTTTGTAAGGTTTTCTTGGAATTAGGGTTTTAAAGTTCTCTACATCGCTATCTAACTCAGGAAGGTCTCTGTAGTATTGGGATGACCTCAAGTCTTCTGGGATTTGTGCAGAATTTCATGGCAATCGAGACAGACTACAGACAGTAAGTAAAACCTGGCAGTAATATTTAAATGGATTTATTTTTCCTATTGTTTATTCACTTTCCCTGTTAGCCTGGTTTCAGGAATAGGGAGGTAGTATGCACAGAGTGACTGACTGAAAAATGTAGCAGGAGAATGTGAGGGAAGAGCAATGAGTTGAATCTAAAAATAGGCCTCCTAAAGCCACATATCAGTATCGGCCCATAACTCTTAGATGTGGCAAAGGCCTTATTGACGAGACACTATACATGTTCTCCCACACCCACAGAGTAGAAGGCAAAATTAAGCCTAATTTCAGCATCTATAAAAATCACCCATAAAATCTGACAGCAGAGAATAAGGATCACTGGGCAGTTCTTATGAACCACCAAGTGGGCAACACTATTGGGTCTTATCCTAGGGGCCGGGAACTGATTTTCTGCAAGGAGCTCATCTTGCTTTGGTATCCTGGCATTTAAAAAGTGAACCCACTTCTAAAAACCAGAAATTATTCTGAGAGAGTACTTTACTCCCCCAGAGGATTACATCCAATAATAATAATGGTCCTTGGTACTCATAATATTGCTTTTCATCTAATAAGCACTTGAGAACATTAATTAGAAGCTGGATGGAATTCCTAAAGACTGGATGGTGGGAAATTATTTCCTGCAGCGTGGTACATTCACAGACTTAACAGAGAGCTTCTGGCAGCCAAGGAAAAAGCAACATTCTTCCTTGTCCAGCCCTGAACTATGAGAACTTTATTGTACATTTGGGCAAAAGGGAAAAAAGCTCATATTAACATCACAAAACATAAAAGAATGCCCAGAGAACCCCTTACATAATGCAAAGTACCAGAAAGGTAAATGGCTTTATCAACCATGAATTCCTCAGCAAAGCGAATGTGACAAAAATTCTTCTTGCTTTTCCGAATCGCTGTAATATCACCACACTGCTCAAAGACTTCTTGAATAATTTCTTCAGTAGCATTTTCTGGTAATCCTCCAACAAACACAGTCTTACACCCAGGAGGTCGTTCTCTTGTGGAAGGAGGCGGAAGATCTAATAATCACAACAAAACAGAGTTTTGTCTTTTATCTATTCACTTAGTTTTTCTGGTTCTCTCAGCAAAAGTAAAGCTTGCAGAGTAACTTTCTCCAGTCTAAGCAGTGGTACATTTCCACCAACTGATATTTCTGCCCCGGCTGTCTTGTTTTTAAGTTTCTCTCCCCTCCTCCTCCCAACCTTTCCTTGCCATGTTCATTTCTACACAGAGTGGCTATGCTTGTCCGCGAACAAAGATAAAGCAAATGTTAGCATAATTTCATTTCTCCTTCATAATACAAAAGCCCAGAAAATAGGAGAGAGAAAAACTTCACAAAGTACAAAACATGATGAAATGACAACATGATGAAAAACCTCGGCTTGTTATCTGCTTTGTCTCCTTGCCAGATAAAGGAGCGGCAAGGCAGAACGCATGAAGCATAACCTTAAAAAGCATGCACAATACTTACTTGGCTGTGAAACACCAGTGCCTGAAAAAAACACTTTGTTATTATTCACATTTAAATGAGCAAACTGTTACATTTTGGTGAGGCTGTATAAAAAGATAAAATGTACACTGTCACAACATTTTACCTAGTTTATATGTAGATTACTAAAGCAATCTCTGGAGAAGTCCACTTAAAAAGGCAACACTGATTAATACGAAAAAAAAAAATAAAAATCTAGCTCATTAAGCCCATAAACTTAGTATCTGAGGCTAAATTAAAAAAAAAAATTCTGGTCCATTCGATTCATCAAATATAAACATCCTTCAAGCAAATGCAATTTGGTTGAGGAATTCTGAGATGCAGGCTTCCCCCCCCCAAATTGCTAACTGACAAATTAATTCAATTTTCCATCTAGCAAAAACACATTTTAGAGTTTTTCTTCTACCTTTGTGAAGATGGATGGAAGTGCTTACATATTTCACACTATCCTCTCCAGCAATGTTAGACTTCATTGCATGCAAACAGATTCTTAATGCTGGATATATATCCCCAAATCCTTTATACTAGTTTCATAATATCGATTCAACTTCTGGACAGAACATGAGCACATTTTCCTGTTTGTTTTAATCTAGGGACAAAAGATTTCTGTTCATCTAAGTGTGAGTTACGCTTGAAAATAAATGCAATGCTATTTAAAATGTGAATAGAAAGGAATTTGAAATGATACGCATATATTTCTTACAGGTGTTACTTACTTGGATTTTGAGGAAAAAGAGTACAGCTTTTGCAGTGGATGATTTCTTTGACCACAGCCACTTCTGTTGGTGGTGGGGGTGGTACCAATCCCAGACCAGGTATCATTGGGTTAATGGGAGTGATTCCAGTCATCATGTTGAGGTTTGGATCAAACCCTGGGACACAGATTGAGTCTGTAAAGTACACAAGATAACATTTTGGTTGGAGAATCTTAAATCCATTTTTACTGTTTTTGCTATTTTCCTGCAAAGATTATTTGACTTTATACTATCTATTTTATAGGAATTTTTCCTGGCATAAGATATAGCATTATAGAAAGCTATTCTGGAAGAGTAAGAAGAGAGAGAGAGAAAAAAAGATGAACCTAAAACTACAAGAAAAGGAAATTATATTACTTAAAATATTAACACGGCAGAACAGAACACAGCATATTAAAGTGTAAACCCACGCACCATGAAGCTCTGCTATTACTGTGAATGCAATTTTCTGTTTCTTAACGCCAGGGTATTGTTTACACTGTCTTATAACCCAGAATGTGGGAAGAATATCATTTAACATTGAAGTGACCTGTGAATCTAATTGTCATCCTGGTTTTATCAAAAGAGCTTTCTTACTCAAGTGACCTACATTTAGGAAAGTTCAATTTATATGTGCATACTTTATAATGCTGTATTCAGGTTTTACCTAATCTGTTTCCCCCAGGACAAAAACCAAAAAATAAAATGAAACAAAGACTGACTATAATTATTGTATGCTAGATACATGCAGGCATAAAATTAGCTATACACATTTCTGAATTTTATTGGATAATCACCCTTTCTTTCTATAATTCGATCAATAAATAATTGGCCCACTCTTCTGAAATCTTTATTACCTATATTTAAAAAGAAGAAAAAAATCTCTCAAAAAAAGGAAGGAGCAAAAGAAAGGTTATGTTTTTTTTTTTTTTTTTCAGAATAACCGCTGAATTTATTTACTATTTTTAGTAGTGTGATAATGAAGCAAGTAACTTGACAGCTGATATACAGGGATTATTTCTCCTTTTTTTTTTCTTTTTTTCAGAAATAAGAACTTTCTAAAAGCAGAGACTTAAAATATTGTTCTGTTTTTAGGAGTAGCTACAAGGGGATTGATCTTTCCCCTGAGGGCTTCTCTGTTTATGGAAAACAATCCTCGCACTGGTGATGTGATAATGTTCCCAGGTAGGCAGGGGACAGCACAGATGCCACCAAGAGAGGCTGTGGTGACCCTACACTGTTGTGCAAGGATGAAATTTCCTTCTCATCTCTTACTCTCCCATCCTTTTCTTCTTCTTCTTCTTAGATCACTACCCCTCTTCCATCCCATCCACCTCTCTTTTCTGGTTCTCACGTACAGCTGAGCCTTGGTCCTGCCTCAGCATGGCCTCACCCTTTACTTACATGTGCTGAAAGATGAGATAAGACCAGAGGGAAATGAAATGGCAACTACGCCCTTAGTCTGTTAAGAAACTTCAGAGGAAACCAACAGTCCAGCAAAGACTTTTCCTTTCAGGGAAATGTTTATGGCATTCCTCCAGCTACTCTGGACATTTCTGTTCCTTCCCTGGATTGAACAGGATAAACAGTGCAATCCTGATTTGCAATCCCAGGACAAAATGTGTCCCATTTATTAAAAATACTCCATTTAATTTGATTGTGAACCAGTTTAAGTAAAATTAAGTTTTTTGTTTTTATTATTATTATTTTCTAATATATAAATGTGGTGCCAATTTTTTTTTTTGAGGCAATTTTTGCTATTAGGGCACATGCTCTCTCTGGAAAGAGACAGTAAAACAGAAAGCAAGAAGTGACTCCCTAGAGGGGCTGACCAGTCCAAAGTCCTCTCTTCCCCATTCCCATCAGGATTTTGGGGATGCACGTGGCATGAGTTACAAGCTTGCAGGATGGGGACTTGAGGTGCAGACAGCTATGTGGGAGTCCAGCGCCCTACCCATTATATAACCTGCTAGCCCCAACATTTTCTTTCAGCGTAGTCGTAGGCACATCTCTTACAATTATGACTCAGTTTCTTTATCTGTAATATGGGACTGTTTGATTGGATTAGCTTTTAGAAAGCTAGCATTCCTGGTCTCTAGAATTTTGAACTGATATTGCTCAAAACAGAGTAATATACAAAAAAAGTAAGCGTTTAGAAGTAATGGGACCAGCAGATGGCATAATGGTTACATTGCTGGACTCCTACATGGGTGACTATGGTTCAAGTCCCAGATTTGGCTGCTTCAAAGTCACACTGGGTGTGTGTGCATGCATGCCAAATATTCCGAGAGGAGAGTAGAGGAGAAAGGATTGCAGTGTGGTCATCCTCCTTGAGGGTGATTTCTTGCTTTCTATCTCTCTGTCTCTCTCTGGCAAGAACACATGCCTTATAACAAAAATCTCTCTAAAAAACAAAGTTTAGAAGTGACAAGAACAAGACTCAACTCTGGTTATTTACTTAATTCTTATAAAATCTCACAGGCATTATTTCCATTTTACAGCCAAATAAATTGAGACATAAAGCAGTTTAGTAGAATTTCCAACAACACAAAACAAACAAATAGCAGGGCCAGAACTAGGGTCTAGTCTCTGGCATATTTAAACACGTATAAATATGCCTGTTTCAAAGTTTCCACCTAGAATGACCCACCACGGTTATTCACCTGACACATGCCACTACTTTTCTTTTCTTTTTTTTTTTTTTTTTGAGAGATTTTTGCTTTAGGGCATGTGTGCTTGCCAGAGAGAAAGAAAGTGAGATATCACCCTTTAGGGAGGCTGGCCACACTGTAATCCCTTCTTCTCCATTCTCCTCTCATGATTTCAGGTGAGCTGGGATTTTAGGGGCACACACACAAATACACATATACATGCCCAGCATGAGTTTCAAGTCATTGGGTCTGAGACTCATACTGCAGTCTACCACATAGAAGTCCAGAGCTTTAACCACTTGCTGGCCCCATGACACTACTTCTAAAATTTTATTTTACTCTTAAAACAAAACCAAACCAAACCAGGCTGGCCTCATGGCTTAGTGGTTAATGAAACCAGATCCCATATGGCTGACCATGGTTTGAATACCAGCCCCTTGACTTGAGAAACATGCCGAGTTTGTGTGTGTGCATGCTCCAAATCCTGATGCGATAGAGAAATGGATAAAAAGGGATTGTGGTGTGACCACACGCCATTAGGGGATGCTTTCTCACTCACTCGCTCATTGTCTTTCTCTCTCTCTAGTGAGAGCAGATACCCTTCGGCAAAATTGAAAAAAAAAAAAATCTAAATTTGTCATGCTGATCCAGACACCAGTTTTAGAGAACTTTCAGAATAGATGGTTTTCACATTGCGATCGTTAAAATAACATACTGACTTCCAAGGTGAATATATTAGAAATAGAAATTCTGGCAACGGGAATATTGGCCTGCTTGTGTTTCTGTTTAATCTCATTCTGTGCATAGGCTTCATCTGTTACTTTCCTGGCCAGGCCCTCACTACTGTTTGCCAACACAGACTGATTTAAGGTGGAAACCACTCAGGACTGCAAACCTTGAAAATGAGAGCTCTGTGAATTATAATAAGCAGATGTTTCCCACAAACAAGAAGAGAAGTCCAGTGTTTGCATTCTCTTCTTGTTGTAACAGACTTCTGTTTTCTTTCTGAAGGCTAAATAAGCAAGTATATCTTCAGAAATGGGGCAGAAGATACTACTTTTGAGTGAAATACTTTAATATACATCAAGAGGTACTTTTCTTTTTCTGAGGCATCAACATAAAGAGACTTGGGGTTTAATGAAATCTGCATGGTGAGTACAGTAGCTTGAAAAGAGCTTAGAAAGGAATTAACACTTAAATTATGTTGGACCTCAAAGGAGCTGAGATTCAAGTATTTGAGAGGAGGAAGTAAGGAGGGATTCGACTTTTCTTTTTAAATAAGAACTCATTACTTCTTTAACAATATATGAACAGATGGAGATTGTTTTCTTAAGTAGCATAGGTGCATACTATATCCCATGTCATTAAAGCAAATGCCTACACTGAAAGTCTGAAAAAGATACATACGCAGGAAGACAAAGGTGAGAAAACAACTCAAACTAAGAGTTTCTCCTCTTGCTTAGAAAAGCTGTCCCCGTGAACTTCAGAGATGATGAGTTATAATTCTACCCAGGAAAAGGGCTTAAACTGTAGTAAGAAAGAATCCAATTAAGTATGTAGTAGAGCTTTCTTTTAGAAGCTGCACTTAAACAAAAGGAAGGGTTACTCGTTTCCGACCAGGGCCTTGTCTAGCTCGTCTCTAAATCGCTGGCTGCAGGCAGAGAGCGGGCAAGGCCAAAGCTCAGCAAATGTTTCTTTTTGGCTGGCTCTTCCAAATTGGACAAGACAAAACCCCAAATCCTGCTTACTGATTTATAGTGCTTCATCAATTAGATGAGCATTGTTCAGAGTGTGGCTATGGGAGTTTCATGTTTAGGATTTATTGGCATGGCAACTGAATTAATTAATTTATGACCTCATTCATTCATTCAGTCGGTCAGTCGGTCAGTCAATGATTCCACATTTCCCAGGCATACCCTATGGCCAGGATCTGGACTTACAGAGGACCCTGAAATAAATTCTCCATTTGGAAAAATGCCAGGGTTTGAGAGAATGAAGGCTGGGTGTCAAACTCGACAGAAGAGTTGGGATACATGAACTGAGGATCAATGGGCACAAGGAGAGTTCAGGAGGGAACTGGCAGGAGAGAGCCTGGTGGGCCGGGGAATCGCACATCATCTCCCAGGGCCCTGTCATAATGTGTATTGACGGTGCAGCCTCCATGTAATGAGAGGCTCAGGAGTTAGACAGGTCAGCTAGTGACATTCAACTTTTTCCTGATTGGAATGGCAACACCTGAGTGTCTGAGTTGCCGTCTGCCAAGTCGGAGGCCCCAGTGTATATTCACCCATCCTTCTTCCTGTCTCTGTCTGCTGCCTCAGCAATAGAAGTATTGGCCATGGGAATATTGGCCTGCTTGTGTTTCTGTTTAATCTCATTCTGTGCATAGGCTTCATCTGTTACTTTCTTGGCCAGACCAGACCAGACCACTACACCACCTGCTGGTCCCATGGCTTGCTTCTTCACTGCCCTTTCCAGGGGATCCCTTAGTGGAGAGTCTCATGT